GGGGGGGGGAAGTTCCTTCCAGAAAGGGAGGCTTCCCCCAGCCAACTGGCAGCTCCATGTTGGTGGAAAACCACTCTCCTCTGGAAGGGCACTTCCTGTTTCTCCAGGTGTGTCTGGCCAGTGTTATGATAATCAAGATACCACCTAGACCCAGGAAGGGCTGGCTCTGCAAGTGCAGAAGTCTATGGTGTGCAGAAGGGAGAAAGGTAAGCACTGAAAAACAAGGCTTTGAGAAATGAATTCCAGGCCAATGCTGCTTGATGTATATTTATTGAAATCTACTTGATGCAAGGCACTGTGCTAGATTGGGTAGGGGATCAGACATGGAGGGCCACCCCTGTCTTCTAAGAGCTCACAATCTAATAGGTGGGGGTATGGCTGAAGAAGGGAGGGAGGGGAGAGGAGAAGCCAAGTACACAAATAGCTCTAGTGCAAGGCTGATTATATAGTGAGTGCCATAAGAGAGACATGGTAATGAGATCAGGGAGGAACAACAAGGCAGACAACTGATATACACAAAGGGGCTGGACATAGCTACAATTTTCAGATATAGGCAGATAACATCAGGAACCACATTTGTGATTTCAAAAGTAAACACTCAAAAACTGCCACAAGGAGAGCTATAGGGTGGAAAGTAGACCTGAAATAAAGACATAATCAATTCTGTAACCTGATAGACTTGTTGGAATTAGTGAAACACTTCCAAAATAGACAGCAGGGTGGGCTGTGACTTAATTCACTTTATTTTATGGACTATACCCAGCTCAGTGAAAGAAAAATAGGCCGAACATCCTTGATTATACTCACCAACACTAGAAGGCAGATTTTCACCGATGTATGAACAGAAGAACACAGTGCCACATTTAAACAGGTTTTCACAACAGTCAGGAAGGACTTGGGCCAGGAATGCCAGCTGCATAGAATGTAAAGAATGCCAGCAACACAATTCCCCTCAGGAAGCAGCCAAGTGCTCATATGCCATTGGCCTTGGACAGCTTGCAAAAGGCAGTGACCAACTCAATCAGGCTCAAGCCAAGGGAGACTTCAGTGGAGGTTGTGTGGACCTTTGAGGGCAGTAGCCCCAATCCCAGAACATGATGTGAGGGCAGCATTCAGGAATGCTGGGGCCGATTCTGCCTTGGGTGCAACTTCTCTAACTCCTGATTGGCTCCTTCTATCTTCCAGTACCAATGAGAGATTTCAGATTTCTCATTTGCAATTGCACAGACCTGAAAGGCCTGGTGCATCATCTCCAGCCAGCTCTGATAACCAGCTGCTGCCTTGGAATCAGGTTAATTATTTATTTTCTTTTTTTTGGGGGGGGTGGTTCTGGCTTAATGAATGTGGCTTGGAGGGGGGTGTGAAGAGTCATGGTGGGGACAAGGGGGAGGTCACATGGTACACAATAGAGCAGTCGCCCAGGGTTGTGGGCAGAGCAGGTACCATGTTATTTCTAGCATGGAATCAAGGATATGGAACACATTACCATCTGTTATCAGGTGTCATTATTCTAGAAATGCAAGAGTAGATAAGACAGAACCCATCCACAAAGTTAATCAGAATAGGCAGCAAATGCGGTAAACAACTACTTTTTTTTTCTTTTTTTTGACAATCTCAGCAACTTTTGAAAACTCTGATAAAAAGTAATGGAAGCTTTCCTTCATACTCTAGTAAGAAAAGGATGTATTTCAAACTAGAGCCAGCATTTGATGAAGTCAACTGCCCACTATTTCCCTTGGAAGAGGGAGATGCGAGATTAGAAAGAAAACTGAAATGAGGTAGATACATGAATGCATGGACAAGCACACAACAGGAAGCTTGGTCATACTTTGCATCTGACATAGCAAAAAGTACAGCTAGAGAATGCAAGGAGATTGGCCCCCAAGTCAACAGCAGGAAAGACACACCTATCGAAGGACTGGGACACGCAGTAAAGCCACAGACTGACAGTGCTTGGAGAGAGCGTATGGACCTCACTGCAAATTACAGGCAATGCCATCCTGCCAACAGTGATGGACAGGGCGTCATCTCTTAGTGTTATCTGTACAAGAGGATTCGTTTGAGAAATATGTTATGCAATCAAAAATAGAAAAAAAGTCAAGGTGGGCAGGAAGGGATGCCGAGGTGTCAAGTCTTGGCTTGAAGCAGTAATGGAGTGTGCTGCATTCTGGGTGGATGTTAATCTAGGCTGTGGCAGGACCCTTCAAGAAACATGACAAAGGATGAATGAACAGGTGAGCAATGGCAGGTCAAGGTGCCAGACTTGCCCCTGGCAGATGTCAACATTCCTTACCCAATGACAGCTGTCTGAAACAAATTGGAACAGCTTGAAAAGAGAGAACTGATCAGAGAAGAAAGCAGTTATTTCAGACACAGATTGGTTCATAAGTGCTGCAAGAACTAAGGCCCACAGAACAAAAGGAATGGCTATTTAACAAGTGCTGTTGGCTTCTCTCCAGCCTCAGGGTCAGGATGGAGATTTCCCATAGGGCCACTGTAGTGGCCTGGGGCCATTCAAGAGGACCTTCTGGTCAAGGTCACAGGGGTCACTACCAGACCTCACTTCCCAGGATGGGAGCCTGGGAAGCCCTTCTCAGTCGTGTCTGCTTGGGGAGTTCTACCTCCGGGAGCCTGCCAGAAGGGCACACTTCCCCATTAGGCTCTCAAGTGCCCACCCCCTGGGCACAGGTACTGGGCCAACTTATTTGTGTGACCTCTGCAGGCCACTTGAAGGACCAGGCTCCTTGCCAGCCCGTGCTTTTGTGCCTCCTGGGGAGGTCTGCCAGAAGTAGGAGCCCAGCTGCAGGGTGCTGGCTTCTGTTGCTGTGCTGCACAGGTTGTCAGCAGGGTCCTGTTCCCTTCCAAACCTCTGCTGGGTGGCCCCTTCTGGCTGGCCATGGCTGCAGCAGCCAGCTGCTGTCAGCAGAGCAGCATCAGAGGAGCCTGAACCTTCACCAAGCTTCTGCTCTGTCAACCCTCCTAGGAGGGAATGCAAGAAGTGGTGCCAGGAGTGCGCGGCTCAATCTTGCCTTAGCTGCCCAAAGCAAAAGCCACCAGTCACTTGCAGGGAGGATATGGTCTCTGTGACATCAGTCAGGTGTTGTCCTGTGTCCCAGGAGATGTCCCTTGGGTGGATCTGCTGCTTAGTCACTCGATCCATGCCAGGAACTGCCAAAGCTCCCAGGCTGAAGGCTGGCCTGGCTCCTACCAGACCAAGTTTGGACCACCCCACCTGCTGCAGGGGCTGTACTGTTGACCAGTCCCAAAGGGTTCTGGTTAGTCTGTGCCTCCACGGCCAGGCTGGATAGCCAAGTGGTGCCCAAAGATAACCATGGAGTGTTCATCTCAGATGCTAATGGGCCCACTTTTCTGGCCCATTCCCATCCAGCCTGCCCTTTGAGTGGGCAAGGCTTTCAACTTCTCAATTATAATTAAAATTGAACAAGAAAATGTCACCGTATGTAACTACTGCAGCAATGAAAGTCACAACTTAATGGGAAAAAAAATGAATACTTGGATACATAAAAAATCAAAAGCTTACACAACCAAAATGTAATAAAAGTGCTAAAAAAGTATGAAGTAATAAAAGTAGAAAAGAGAGCATCACAAGTGATCTAGAAAGAACTGCTGTAGAAAGTCAATATATTCAAAGGTAACCTGATAACTAGTCAAAGGAGATGAACACATGATTTGCATGCAAGAAAATGGTAATAGTGCTTTAAGTCATCATGTGAGCAAAAGCTGATTGGTCTGGGGCTCTGGGATCTGCATCCTGTCCTGGTCCTAGCGAGCTGCAGGATGAAGGCGGTGACCTTCGCCGAGCTGAGTGCAGGCCCGCTGGCAGTCCTCACAGTCCCCTTTGGAGGTAGGCACAGTGATCACCTCCACGCCATGTGGAGACGGCGGGCTGGGAATGTAGCACACAGGCCTTGCACGAGGACAGACTCTTGATCCCCAAAGGTCAACATCACCTTGCACTTGGAGTCCTTGAGATGTTTCTCATTTTGAATGGAAGCAGCTGCTTGAGGACAAGCCTCATGAGACTGGGCCAGCCACAGCAGATGGCTTTCTAAGCTTTGGACCCGTGCAGGGGTCTCCGGATTGAAATAGTTTGAAGTGCTTTAGACAAGGACATAAAATTCAGCAATTTGCACTAGGAGTGTGACCTCACAATCAGAGCTTTTAGATACTTTTTCGAAGGCCTTTTCTAGGTCATCTGGCGCAACTGCCTTTGGGGGCTATGCTGTACAGTTACAGGGCGTGTGGCACGTGACATAGACCAGAAGGGCGTATGCCGCTGCTCAGCTGCCTTGGGAAGAGACCTCCCAGGCAAGCTCCCTGCAGTGACTGTCCCAGTGCCGTCACGTTTTGAAACTGACTGCTCAAAGGCGGCCCCTTGTAGGCAAGGATGGTGACATCAGAACTCATGGCAGGAGTCAGCATAGAAGTTTCTGAAAAGGAGCGGGCAAAAAAGGGTTTCTTCTCAATCAATATATTATTCTATATAATAAGCGATTTACAATATGTATGTATGTATCACTGCATTAATAAATTAAATATTAGAAGATATCTGAGCATCATATTTACACCCCTACAAATTTAAAAATTCAAGTAGGCCAAAAACCTCTGCGGCAACCTGCTGAGGCGGGGGGGGGGGGGGGGGGGGTAGTCGGGGTCTCACGCTAGCGAGTAACTTCAAGGCTGCACAGCCGGGTTTGTTTCCCTGAGGGAGGGAGGGGAGCCTGCAGCTGCCGCCCCGCCCAGTCCCCTCCCTTGCCTGCACGACTATCGCTGGTGCTTGCTGTCACGAACCCCTCACCACTGGAACTCACAATGCAAAAGCTATTCTCGATGGGCATAATGGACAACGTGGACACGCAGAAATTGCTGGTGGCAGTAGAGATTGGTTTCACCCTTTTCCAGACGCTAAGATACACAAGCGCGATGCAACTTCATCTCCTTTGACCAGGCCCCGGAGCCCGGGGGAACATCCTTCCCGCCTACTCGCGGTGGCTGGGTTGGTGCTTCTGCAGTGCCGAGCGCCGCTTGAACACGCGGCCACACTCGCTGCACTCGCAGCGCCGTGACCCGCTGTGGATGCGCCGGTGGCGGCTGAGGCCAGAGCTCCTGCGGAAAGCCTTGCCGCACTTGTCGCACTCGTAGGGCTTCAGTCCACTGTGGATGCGTCGGTGCTTGATGAGGTCAGAGGGCCCACGGAAGGCCTTGCCGCACTCGCCACATGCGTAGGGCCGCTCTCCGCTGTGGATGCGCGCGTGCTCCAGCAGGCTGGAGCTCTGGCGGAATGCCTTGCCACACTGGCCACATGCGTAGGGCTTCTCGCCTGTGTGGATGCGCCGGTGCTTGGTGAGCTCCGAGCTGCGGCGGAAGAGCTTGCCGCAGTGCGGGCAGCCATAGGGCTTGGCACCACTGTGGATGCGCTGGTGCTCAGCCAGGCCGCTGACACCGCGGAAGGACTTGCCGCAGTCGTCGCAGTCGAACGGCAGATGACCAGTGTGCGCCCGCTGGTGCTTGAGCAGCTCTTGGCGATCCAGGAAATCCCGGCTGCATGACCGGCAGGGGAACGGCTTGTCGGAGTTGTGCAGCTTCTGATGACGGACGAGGTGCGCATCGGCCTTGAAGGAGCGGCCACACTCCTCGCAGTCAAAGGGCTTCTCGCGGCTGTGCACCCGCAGGTGCTGGCTCAAACCTGCGTTCTTCTTAAAGCGCTTCCCGCACTCTGTGCACTCGAAGGGCTTGGCCTCCCTCTCCAGCTGCTCCCGCTTGGCCACCGCATCCTCTAGGGCCCAGCTGGGCCCGGGCCGCGGCTCGGCGGCCACGTGGGCCTTCTTGTGCTCGTTAAGCTCGGCCAGCCCGCGGAAGAGCTGCCCACAATCACCACACTCCCAGCTCCTGGCCTCTCTGTGAACTCTCTGATGTTGGACGAGGAGCACTTTCAGTCGGAAAGTGTCCCCACACTCCTTACATGCAAAGTGATGCTCTATGGGCCCGTCCTGGGGGCTCCCTCCCCTGCCCTCCAAGTCCCCATTCACTTTGACCTCAGTGCTGGGATCACTGGCCCTCAGGGAGCTGGTGGGCGCCATTTCCTGGGGCTGAGCTTCCTCACCCATCGTGTGGTGCTGGATCACAGAGCTGCGGCCTGAAATGACAAGCACACAGGGTTACAGTGGGCGGAGGAGGTAGAGGTCCACCTTCTGCCGCAGGCCCCACTCCCCTGCCCCGCTGGAAGCTGCTCGGAGTGAGGATGGCACAGGGGCCTGTTACCTGCTCACTCCCTAGTGACAGGCTCCCCAGGGGGCCATCCCCCACCCTGGACTAGCACCTATGGCTGCTTCTTAAAGGCCTACACAGGCTCTCAACAGGGACCAGCTCCATCCAGGAGCTCACCTGATCCCTCCAACCGAATGTTCACCCCCACAAGCTAAGCTGGGCCTCCCTGTAATTTCTTCAGAGTTTTTTTTCCCCCTATTTTTTAAAGTAAACATTTATTCTTTGGAAAGGTAGAGTAGGAGAGAAAGAGGGAGAGACAGAGAAACAGATCTGTCTGTTGGCTCACTCCCCAAATGGCTGCCATGGCTAGAACAGAGCCAGGCTAAAGTCAGGAACCAGGAACTTCATCCAGGTCTCCCATGTGGGTACAGGTGCCCAGGGACTTGGGCCATCCTCCACTGGCTTCCCAGGCACACCATCTGGGAGACCTGGATGGGAGGTGGCAAAGCCAAGACTTGAACTGGTGCCCATTTGGGATGCTGGCACCACAGATGGAGGCTTAGCTTGTTACACCACTAGGCCAACCTGTTCAGGTCTCTTTTTCACTCACCAAACTGTGTAGCACGATCTGTGTTGAGAGCTGGGTCTGGTGCCAAAAGTATTTGCCCTTGTGCAAGCTGAGGGACCAAGGCAGGGTTCACAACAGGACCTCCTGTAGGCAGAAAAGGGTGGAGACTATAGGGGCATCCGGAGATGCCATCTCAGTGCTCAGCCACTGGGCTGACTGGAAGCCCAGGACGGGCATTCATGCCATCCAACTCTTTCCTAAGGACAGGCTCCTTGTGGGAACTACAGGAAGGGAGGCACTGGGTCCACCTGGACATGTCGGGGGTTATCCACCCTACGTGCTTCTTGCTCATGCCCTTAGGGGCCACAGACTGGATAATGGGCTCTCCCTCAACTCCCAGGTCTGAGCCCACTACTCTCTCCTCACCTCACGCAGGCTCCCTGAAGCATGAGCAAGGGTTGATCATGCCCTCAGTAAGCCCAGAACAAATGGCCAAGAAATCTGTGTGACCCACAGTCTAAGTTACGGTGGGAGGCCTGTCGTAAGTTCTTTGCTAATAGAAGACCACAGGGCTCCTCCTCATGTGTGAGGAGTTGGGGAACTTCCTGTCGCTTTGAGATGCTGAGTGTGGCAGATACTCTGCGTCTCCCCACAAATGAGGGGCCAAGGCAGTTTTCATGTGTGTGAGTACATGCCCATCTGGGGGAGGGGTGGGGCATCCTTACCCACGGAGGCCACATTCCTGTAATATGCCAGTGTCCTCTGCTCTGGATCAAGCCTCAACAACTCTCTTTTTGTGAGGCACCATGCCACTTCATCAACTGTCACCAAGCCCTGAAAGAAGCCCCAGGGATAGTCAGCCTTTCTGTCGAGTACACAGTGAGACAGCGGAGGTGCTAGGAAGATCGAGGCCAGAGGGGAGGAGGGCCTGGAATGAGAGTGCACTGCTAGTTTGCAGATCCGAGCACAGCCACACGAAGTTCTGGAAAAAGAAATTGACCAAGAGCTAGGAGACCCAGGCCTGGGACCCTGCCCGCCCACAGTGGCTCAGGGCAGCACTTCATTCACTTCCCTGGATAGAAACCTAGCTTCCCACCTATGCAACGGGAATTACAAGGCAAGTAGGTGCTGCTGCTGCGTGGCCTCCAGGGTAGCAGTAAAGGATGGGCAGGCAGGCAGGCAACAGTTGGGGTTCGCAGCCTGCTGAGTGTCATGCTGGAGCAGGAGCAGAGGGCAAGGCTGGCATCAGAGAGCAGTGGCAGAATTCCAAGCAAGGCAAAGGGAAACACAGCTCACCTGGGCCTCCGGCATCTCAAGAGGGACTGCCAGGACCTGGGTTCTTGGGGCTCCATCCTGGGGGAGGGCAAGACCTTGGGGAGCAGGTGGCGCTAAGGAAAGTGAAAAAAGCCAAGAGTGACAATAGCTCTGTGTCCTAGTTCCCTGGGATGATACTCGGGATTTCCTTTGCCCTGGGCTGATGGAACAGCAAGTCAGAGGAGTCTAGAGAAGGCAAATTTATGGTGGCCTAGGCCAGCTGGGTGAAGACATTGGCAGGATAACTGGCACAGAGACCAGCACTCAGAGAGAGGTTGGGCAGAGGTCTTGTACAGTAAACCTGGAAGGTTTACGAGGCATCAAAAACCCAGGCTGGCCACTGGAGGAAAAAGAGGCAGGGGAGAGCAAGAAGCAGGGTTTCCTGGCCAGCACCGAGAGTCTCAAAAGTTACACCCACTGAAGAATTCAGCAAGTGAATGCAAGCCAGTTCTCATATACCGAGCAAGATGAAGAGCTGAACACAGCAGCTGGAAAAACAAGGATCGAAGAAAAGTTCTGCAAACACCACGATACTAAATGCAAGTTATGAATAACATGTGCAAATTCCCTTCGCCTTCCAAACTGTCAAATGTGCAAAAGGGTCTCTGGTCCCACTGGAGTTGTTGGAGCCTCACAAGCCTTCCACTGCACACAAGTCAGAACTGAATGAAAGGGAAGCACTTCTGCTCAAGGCTCTAAAACGCAGCTCTTCCAGAAAGCCTTTATATAAAATTAAAGATGTCATGGTGAACGGGATGGGCAGAAGCAGACTCAATATCCTGCATGAACCAATGGAAAGCCATAGGAAATATATGTGACACTAGTTCTCAGACACAGGAGGAGAGAAAGCACAACACGATGGTCCCCGAGAGGATACAGATAATCTCCAGCTGCCAAATGGAGCTCAGTGGCTTCACCAAGCTGGAGAGACATAGAGCAGCACTCAGGCTGACGCAGGTAACTGGAGTAGCAAAGTTCCAGAGAAGGGAAACGAACCTGCATATTGGCCCCCTTGCTCCCTCCTGACAGTTAAGCCTTGCATGCAGACCGTGGAAACTCCAAAAGGCTGAGCAAAGAAGGACCAGGACGGACTAGCATCGTGATACAGTACGTTAAGTTGCCGTCTGCAATGTTGACATCCCACACTGAAGTGACCTTTCGAGTCCTGACTGCTCCACTTCCAATCCAATTCCCTGCTAATGCAGAAAACAGCTCTAGACTTGAAGCTCAGATGCCTAATGTAGGAGACGCGGCTGGAGGTCCAGCTCCCGGTTCCAGCCTAGCTCCGGTGTAGCTACTGCAGCCATGTGGGGAGTCAGTCACCAGAGGAGCAATCTCTCTTTCTCATCACTTGCTTTTGTCCTCCTGACTCTTGTCATTATGATTTACAAATATAAGAAATAAAGAAATCTTTAAAAAAGAAAAGGAATGACCAGGTAGCTACAAGGTGAACAAGTCCTAGGGTACGTGAAGGGGTGAAAGGCAGCCCAGGTGCTCTAGGATCTCCTGGGAGATGTAAGCATCCGCACATGCAGTGGCCTAGAGAGAAAATGAAGTGGTTCGATGTCAACGTGGATGAACTCCGAGAATATGAGGAGAAGGTAGCAAGGCTCAAAAGCATGGTGAGACATAATGACCGAAAAAATCCCATCTCTGATGCTATCAACTCACAGCTCCAAGAAGCCAACCACCCCTGTGCAAGATTTCAAAAGATGTGTCATAATCTGGTTGCTGAACACCAATGATAAAGAAAAAGTTGTTTAAAAGTGGCCCGAGAAAGAAATGCTGCTGCATATAGAGGAGCAAACGTAAGAACAGCTGCTTATTACTATTTATTATTTATTAAGTATGATCATATTTTACTATTATCATGAATTTGAAGGGTAACAAGAATGCACGTAGCTGGCATTGCAGAGTAGTGGGTTAAGCCACTGCCTGTAAGCACCAGGATCTCATATAGTCGCCGTTTCATGTCTCGGTTGCTCCGTTTCTGATCCAACTCTCTGTTAACGTATCTGTGAAATCAGCAGAGGATGGCTCAAGCCCGTGCGCCCCTGCATCCATATGGGAAACCCAGCGGGAACTCCTGGCTCCTGGCTGTGGACTTAGCCAGCTCCCAATATTGTGGCCATCTAGGGAGTGGACCAGTAGATGGAGGATCTCTGTCTCTGTAACTCTGCCTTTCAAAGAAATAAATCTTTAAAAAAGAGAAAGAGTGGGAGAACTAGACAGACTGAGAAATTGCTGGATCACTCTCCAAATCCCTGCAGCAACCAGGGCTGGGCCAGACTAAAGTCAGGAGCCGGGAAGTCCACCTGGGTTTCCCTCAAGGGTGGCAGATACTCAAGTACTCGAGTCATTAAGCTACTACCTCCTACAACATGGCATCAGCATGAAACCGGATCAGAAGGGGAGAAGGCAGGACTCGAATCAGGCACCCTAACACGGGGTGAAGGTGTCCCAAATAGCACCTTACATTCACTGTGTCACACTGCCTGGCCCAAATCACATTTTCAAAGTGTTAAAACAAAAAGAGATCAATCTAGAATACTATATTCAGAGAAGGTATAGTTTTCAAAAATGAAGGCAAAATAAAACTATTTTGAAGACGAGAGACTTCCTCAGTAGCAGCTGTGTACTATTATAACTACTAAAGCAGGTTGTTCAGGAGGAGGAAAATGATATGAGAGGGGAACCTGGATCTGCACGAAAGTGTGAGGAATGCCAGCACTGGCGAGATGTGGGAAAACAAAACACTTGTACCCTCTTCATTATTAAATGTTCAAGGAGGAATTGAGCATTTAAAATGAAAATCATTACAAGATAGCGTGGAGTGTGAAATACATGTAGATGTAAGACATGACTATGCGTTGAGACTCAGATGCAGGGCCAGTGCTGTGGCCCACGACAGTGACATCCCACAGCAAAATGCTGCTTCGAGTCCCAGCTGCTGCACTTGCAATGCAGCCCCCTGTTAATATGCTTAGAAAAGCAGCAGCAGATGACCCAGGTTCATGGGCAACCTGCACCCACATGGAAGACCCAAGTGGAGCTCCTCACAAATGACTCTGGCTTGACTCAAATGTACGTAGGGGTAAAACGTGATTATGTGTTTCAGCAAGGCCTTCGAGACTCAGATACAGGGCAGCGAACCAGCAGATGGGAGATCTTTCCATCAGTTACCTTGCCTTTTAAGTAATAAAATCCACCTTTAAAGAATGTGTTCCATATTTTTAAAAAAGACTCAGATGTAGACTAATAAGCCAAAAGTGAAGACAGAATGCAATACTAAAAAATAACCCAAGAGAAAGAACAAAGGGAACAGGAACAGATGGAAGAAATGGAAGAAGGTAACGAGATGGCAAACTTAAACTCAAGGGGAGAGGAGCTGTTGGGAGTCTGTGGGCAGTGAACGACGGGAGAGGACCCAGAAGCTGGAGGAAGGGTTGAGGCATCGCATTTCTGGGCTATTCCCAGGGCAGGTGTGCAAAGTCTACACAAGCCCTGTTCCCACTTTGCTGGCTGACACAGAAGGCCCGCAGTGTGTGGGTTAATCTCCAGAGGCTCAGCAGCAAGCTCTCTGTGACTGCCACTGTCACGGGCTAGGGTATACATGTGCTATCTAGTTTGACTTTCACCTCCAATACCAAACGAAATGGTTGGAAATCATTTAGGTAGTTCCCCTCCAATTGACAGTGATCTGGGCTGCCCAGTGGAACAGAGAGAGGGTCACTGTGCATGTGGTCTCTGAGAAGATGACCTATTACAGGCTTTTTCTTGGCTGTCCTCAGGCCAGCAGCCTAAGACCTTTACAACTCCCACCCCTGAGGCCCTGGCCCAGCCTGCCAGTTGTACATTCTGTACCTCTCCTCTTTGTCCCTTCATGCAGAAACAACAGCTGTCACTCAGTCCTAGATGTGCAGAGACTGTGGCCCTTGAGGCCTGTGCACATGCCAAGAACACCACACCTATAGCTTGTCACAGGCATTGCCTTGTAAGAATTTAGGCCTCATGTCAAATGTCACCACTTCAAAACATCTCCACTCTCCTAGTCTGTGGCGATTTGTTCACTGCATTGGCACTAACTAAAAACTTCTGTTCTTACTTGACTCTCTCCAGGAGAAAGATTAGTTCCCCCATGACAGGGGCCTCCCCTTTCCTGGTCGTCCTAGAACCCCACAGCTCTGGAATCCAGTATGCATGTGAGACATTCTAGGGCAACTGGGAGGAATGCCTTCAATGGAGCACACTTCCATGTAGGGAGCACTGAGCGCATGCACTGAGTGCTGGGCATCTCCCTTGACATAATTGAATTATTGCCACCTATGCTTGTTACTGCTCAACTGCCCGCGGAAGAAACCAAGCATCCAAGAAGCCAAGGAACTTGCTTGAGGTCCGGTTCCCAAGACTGGTGCCTTTTCAAAGTACCCAAGCAAGAAGAAAACTAATCAGGTTTCCCCTCACAGCAGGCCCGAATCAGGAGACAGCCTGGCAGGGTGAATTTGGGAACTGCGTTTGAATCCTTGTGTGAACACTCTATCACAGATACTCCTGATGCAACATAGGCTGCCTTTCCTCTCCTCTCTCTCTCTCTCTCTCTCTCTCTCACACACACACACAGAGTTCTTAGGAGTCACCAGATTTCATCAAGAAGATCTTCCTGAAGTGTTCTGTGCAACTGAGCGAAAAGGAATTGTTCTCACGCTTTGCTAGGTAGTAGTGTGAGAGGCTTTTCCTGCACCGGCTCACCTGGGGCACTGAAGCTTGAGAGCACTTTTGCTCTCAGCAGCTATGTGATCAGCACCCACAATAATGGGTCCTCTGGACACACAGGGATAATTTAGAAAGGGCTCATGAAAACGGTTAGGAGAAAGCAGGGCCTGTTTTCTCAAAATGAAGCTAAACTGTGCAGAACTAACCACATGCATTGGGTAAGAGTGTCAGGAGAAGCAAAGGGGATCATAACAAACAGAATGCAAGCTAAGCTCTACTGTGGTTACTACTAAAATTCTCCTCAATCCTGGAGCTAAGCAGAGTGCTTAGAATCCACATTGCTCCACTGTTCTCCTTTAAAGTGGTGAAGGTGATCTGGAAAAGAAGCTGGATGCTGAGACCAAAGAGACAAATGGAGCTGTCCACAGCTTTCCCAAAGAGAATCTTGGAGCACCAAGGTCAAAGCAATTCCAAACAGAACATGAAAAGAAATGTAGTGAACCCAGTGCACACCGAGGGGAATGCTGACCTTGGGCAGCAGACACTGTTACTCATGGCAAAAAAGCACACTCCAGAGCTTGTAAGGTGCACTCTGGCTTACAATTGGGCAATAGAAGCTGCAGAAATACTATGGGAAAACAAATCTCCAAGTCCCAGTGTTAAAAGTGTTACCGCCCTACTTTAAATGGAACCTGGGGACAACTCTACAAAGGATATCAAGTCCCAGAGAATACAGGCCTTGTCAAGGTCAACTGTGGTTTCCACACTTGGACTTAGCTTAGCACCACAGATGCTATAGCTATTGAACAAACATGGAAAACAATGATGTCAACATTAACCTGACTGACACTGAAAAATTATGCTTTCTAAAGCACTAGAGCTCATGTGAAGGGATGCAGCTTTCTGCTATGTGCTTTAGATCACCTTGTAAGGTTTAATCAGCTTACTGAAATCAAATATTCTGCATGGAATGAATCAGAAATGATAAGAGACCCACTTGAGTTTGATCTTAAAAAGATGGAAATCAAGAGCTGAAGTCAACAGACAAAAAGCAGCCCGGTGAGTAATTAGGTGTCTTCTGGTGGCATTTGGGCCGCTCACAATGTCTGGGCTCTAGCACAAGTGTTCCTGAGCCGAAAAGATCAGCCACCACCTAATCCATTCACTGTGCAGAGAGCTACTTCCCCTGATGTGTGCCTTCCTTCCCTGGGCAGTGGGAGCAAGAGAGGCAGCAGGGCCACGCAAACCTTCATCTGTAAGTTCCTGAAGCTTCTAAGGGGTGCCAGAAACATCCGGAGTCTACTCCTTTAGCAGAATGGCATAGCCTCGAAGCCTGAGCTTATCCAGAAGGCAACAGGTGAATTGTGGCCCAGAGTAAATAATTCTAAGTGTCCTTAGAGGTTTCCTCTCCCATGCCAAGGATCCCCTGGAATCCCAAGTCTCCTTAGTGGATCTCTTATCTGGCCTGTTCTGTGTGAGAGAACTGCCTCTGGCCAGGACAACTTAGCAACACTAATGTGCATGCCTTCAGACCAGCAGATGTGGGCTGTGAATACCCAGACTTACCCAACAGAGACACTGATGGATGACTCATTGTGCTTTATAACAGATCCAAGCACTCTGTCCGGCAGGGAAGGTCCCACCTGTTGGATGGAAATGATCTGAGTGAACAGAAGCAGACTCACGTGCATTTTCACAGAGCCTGTTGTGCTGCAGGATCGGTGTTCAACTGCAGAAGACTGAGCATGAACTGCGCCCCTGGGCCTCAGTGGATGCTGGTCTCTGTGTTGCCAGGGGGCAGGAGTGCAGGTCCCAACAGGGCTCACGCTGTATTGCACAAGCAGGCTATCACTCCAAGTAGCAGAATCCTAAAGGGCCAAAAGCAGGATGTCTTACCAGGAAAGTGTCTCTCTGGGGATACTTGTGTCTGTGTGTGTCTTTTTTTGCATGCGTGGGTGGGAAGGCATCTGTTTGCCCGGGCACCTGTCTCTCTGTGTTTAGGTTCCCATCTCCTTTCCCTTCTATAAAAAGCCAGAAGGTAGACCAGAAGGGGATTTTGTAGTGTTTGTTGTAGTTGACTGCATAAAGGTTTATGTTCACATTTCCCCAAGAAGACACATGGCATCCTACTAAAAATCAAAATACAATGTAAGTATAGCTTTGCTTATGTTATGCTGCTTAGATAGTAATGCTTCTAAACTGGGAGATATGGTGGTGGGATGCTACCCAGGCCCCCAGGAGCCCAGGCAGGTTATAGAAAAGGGCTGTACCACTGGGCTAATGATTTCTTTTGGAGTTCGCTTGGCACAAAAATGGCACAGTGAACAGGTCTGTCTGCTCAAAGGAATCTGCACTCCTCAGCAAGCACAACTCCGTGTGCGCAACCCCTGCCCACCTGCCCTGGGCCTCCCATCATGGGAACCCAACTTCTCCGAGTCTCTGGATGAGAACTCAGGCTTTCTAGCAGCTCTGGGAAGGGGTCCCTCACTGAGGGGAGGCTAGGAATCACTGGCCACCAGGATTCTAAATATAGAGCCAGGAACAGTTTCATGGAACGGCCTGAACTCTGCCAGACACTGTGCAAGTTGTTTCTAAGTTGAGGCCCATGGGGATGGGGGAGGGGGAGCCTGCAACCTCATCCCAAATCCTCTTGCAGAGGAAAATGTCCAGGCTGAGGCTGGGAAGAAAAGGTTTCACTGGCCAAAGGGCAGACACTTGCCTGGCTAGGCCAAGGCTGGCTGGAGGGTGCACTTGGAACAGGGTGGGACCTCCAGGAAGAGAGCCAGCAGTGGCTGGGGCGGGGTGGTGGTGGCGTTTGAAAGGGACCATGGGCTTTGGGCACTAGGCGAGTGGGGGTGTGTGTGTGTGTGTGTAAAAAGGCATGTAATTAATTACCCAAATATAGACTACAGAAGCCAGCAACATAGTTGGGGGAGGGGGTTGCTATAAAGGGAGAAGGTGGCCCCCAAGAGGGCCAGAGGAAAGTGCTGTTAAGCCCTAGCGAGGGTTGTCCCTCCCCTCGAGCCCATCCCCCAAGTCTCTGGCTCTAGGTTCCCATGCCTCCCATCACACCAATCCATCAAGCTCAGGCTGGACCCCCATCCAAATGGAAAGGAGGGGCATCTTCGACATGAGACGTCCCCACCCCCTTGAACTGCGGGAAAAGTCCGTTAATCACCACCCCCTCCCCCAGAACTCCCTTTCCCGTTGGCCTTCATTGCACTTGGCCGGGTGTACTCTCTTTGGGATCCACACCAGTTCCCATCCCTTAGCATCCCCGAAAGAGAAACTTAGGCCCTGGAACAACCGCGATTCCCGCGCTTGGCTGCCGATCCCTGCCCGCCGCAGGAAGGCCTTCAAGGGCCTCGCCGTACCAGCCATCCGCACCGGAATGCCTCTCCAGCCAGCCTCAAGACCAAGCAGTTCCCCACCGGCCGAGACGCCCCGCACCACAGCACATTCTCGCGCGTCCCCCAGCACATCCTCCCGCGGCCCTGCACACTCGGGCCCGCACATCCTTGTGCTGGCACTATCACCTCCGTCCGGCACACTCGTTCGCGTCACTGGCACATCCTCCCGCGGCTCGGTAGCTCATCCAGACTTACGGACAGCCCACGCTCGATCCTCGGCGGAGCTGCGCTAACGCGGCCCGGCCAGGCCCGGCGTGGCAGGAAGCGCCACGGAGCCGACTGAGCGGGGATGAACCCAGCAGCCCGGCAGCGCACGTTTCCGGAGCCGCGGGCGCCGCCTGGGGTACAGAAGGAGTCAGGCCCCACCCCGTTCCCCGCCCCTCCCGGTTAGTCGACTCCGATTGGCCCAGGGAGGGGGCGGGACAGGGAAGGGGTGTGGTTGGGGTGGGGCTGGGCAGAGCGGACCAGGGAGACGGGTCCGGTGAGACCTTGGGGGTGCGGCTGAAGATTGGGATGAATACACCAAGGAATCAAAGAGGGACCCAGTGGACAAACTGACAAGCAGACGAAGAAGGAAACTGAACAGAGGAATGGAAAGGCCCGCTTCTCCTTGGATACCTTTAACATGAAGTGGATGTGAGGATCAGAAGGGAGGGCAAGGCCAAATACAATTCAGACCCTCGTGGAGGGATAGAAGTTCCTCACCCAGTCAACAAATATGTAAACCCTCGGTAGGCAGGCAGGAAACATAACCGGGGGCCGAGCTTGCCTGACCTATGAGACCACACATTTGACGCCTTAGGGCTCATGTGACAGTTACATGTTTGTTTATGGGGAGCAAGGGCACAATCAACAAGTAACACCTAACAAATAAGCAAGAGAGATTAAAATGAACTTTTTTCAATTTTCCTGTAACAATCGTGTTCATTGGATGACATCTTTCTCGTGTTATCAAGAAAGGGTAGCAACATACTGAAAACCACAAAGAAGGGTGTCCCCGTAGCAGTGATTAATATTGCACAGTTTGCGTGGTGCTCCATGGGCTTAGTTTTCCTTCTTTTACTGATGCCTTTTCAGGTAAGTTGCACTATGCACAACCCCTTTGGCATGTGTGATGTTAACGGGTGATCCGTACTTACTACCTTTTGCGGAGGGCGGGGAGGAGAGTAAAATTTACATTGAGGGCAACGTGTAAGTCTTCAGTATCAGGTGTGGTGAGTTTGGACAAATGCCAAACCCTATAGGCATTCTCAACACTGCGGCCACTGTTGCAGCAAAATGGATTAAGCTACCACTTGTGGTGCTGGCATCCCATATTAAAATGTATGTTGAAGTCCTGGCTGCTCTGCTTCCAACACAGCTTCCCCCTTAATGCACCTGAAAAGTTAACAGATGATGGCCCAAGTACTTGGGGTCGCTGCTGGCCACATGGACAACCCAGATGGAGTGTTTGGCTTTTAGCCTGGCCCTGGGCCAGCTCTAGATGTTTTTTTTTTTTTTTTTTGGCTTTTTTTTTTTTTTAAAGATTTATTTTTATTATTTTTTCATTGGAAAGGCAGATATACAGAGAGGAGAGACAGAGAGGAAGATCTTCCGTCCGATGATTCACTCCCCAAGTGAGCGCAACGGGCCGATACTATGCCGGTCTGAAGCCAGGAGCCTCTTCCGGGTCTCCCACGCGGGTGCAGGTTCCCAAAGCTTTGGGCTGTCCTCGACTGCTTTCCCAGGCCACAGGCAGGGAGCTGGAAGGGAAGCGGGGCTGCCGGGATTAGAACCGGCGCCCATATGGGATCCCGGGCGTGCAAGGCGAGGACCTTTAACCACTTGCGCCACCGCGCCGGGCCCTAGATGTTTTGATCATTTGGAGAGTGAACCAGAAGATAGAATATATCACTCTCCAAACTTTGTCTGCCTCTCCCTCTCTGTCTTTCAAATAAAGAAAACTTTAAACAATGGTGTGAAACCTTATCCGTGCCCAGAAACCTCCATTGTGCCCTTTTCCAAACCCCCCTGAAGTCCAGAGAGCCACCTTTCTAATTTCCCCTCATTTTGAGCAATTGGTATTTCTTATGAATAGAGTCATAAAGTGTATACCATTTTGTGTGCACAGTCTTTCATTTAGTGTGCTGTTTGGGGATTTATTTTGTTGGATGAGTTTCTGTTTCTTTCATTTGATTAGTGGGGATAGAGTTGGTTTATTCATTTACTAGTTTTATCATTTGGGCAGTTTCGAGTTTGGACTAATATAGATGAAATTACATGAATATTTTGTACACGTTTTGTGTGAATATATACTTTCATTTTTCTTGGGTAAATGCCGAGAGGAGAAGTGTCGCCATGTCGTGATCTGCTGGGATATTTGTCAGGTGGTTGTGCCATTTGTGTTCCCATCAAAAATATGTATGAGTTCCTTTTCTTTCCCATGCTCATCAATGTTTGAGGTTGTCATGCTTTATTTTTAGCCATCCCAGTGGGTGTAGAGTGACATCTCATTAGGATTTCAGTTATGATGTCCCTGATGACTAATCACATTGAGTTAGCTTTTATGTGAAGAACTGGTCATTTTTGCCTTTCCATTTGTGTGATTAAGAAGTAGGCCCAATTTTGGTGCACTTGTTTACCATTTTATCATTTACTAGTGGGTATGGTTTTTGTTTAAAAAAAAAAAATCTCAAGGGGCCCAGTGTGGTAGCCTGGTGGCTGAAGTCCTTGCCTTGCATGCTCTGGGATCCCATATGGGTGCCACTTTGTATCCTGGAAGCCCTGCTTCCCATTCGGCCCCCTGCCTGTGGCCTGGGAAAGGCAGTCGAGGACGGCCCAAATACTTGGGACCCTACACCTGCTCCTGGCTTCAGATTGGTGCAGCTCCGGCCGTTGCGGCTGCTTGGGGAGTGAATCATCGGACGGAAGATCTTCCTCTCTGCATATCTGACTTTCAAATAAAAATGAAATAAATCTTAAAAAAAAATCTCAGGACCATTGAGGCATGTTTGACATATAGTAACTTTACTTATTTCAACTGATTTAATAAGGCTTAATACAAATACACACAACTATGAAGCCATCAAGGAAACAAATATATCCATCACTCTGCAGGTTTCTTCATGCGATTAGTCGCCTGTGTATTTTCAGGCAGCCACTGACTTGATTTCTGTCATACTACTGGAGTTTGCATGTTCTAGATTTGAAATCTATGTCCTGAAACAATAAATATTCTTTTCTGGTTGGTTCCTTTTACTCAAGAATATTACTTAACAACTGTCTTTAATCTCTTGATGTTACTGTAACAAACTGTTTGACTTAGTGCTGTGATTTGGATATCGCCCCTCCAAAATGCTAGTGCTATTGGTGGGATTGCATTAGGAGGTGGGACCTTGAAGAGAGGATTAGGCCTTGACGATTCCTGCCTGCTGTGAGAATCGAAGGCCCTTATAAAAGAGGCGGCCATGGGCTTTGAGCAACCCCCACCCCTGCAATGCACTGTACATGTGGGCACAGAGCTCCTCTTCCGAGGAGGACCCAGGGAGAAGGCTCCTATCAGACACCAAATGCCGGTACCTCGATCCTAGACTTCCTGACTGAAGAATCCCAGCCTGCACTCAGACACTAGGCAATTGACAAGCATTACAGATTTGTGCCTTTTATCATTTACAGAACCAGAAAGTCCAATGGGCAATCTGCCAGCAGATCCGTGGCTTGTTAGGGCAACGCTCCACGCCTAAGCTATTGCCTTCTTACTGATCCTCATGTGGCAGAAGTGATGTTAGGGCAAGTCAGTATCAGGCAGCTTTCAGGCCTCTTTCCGCCAGGTCATTAATGCCATATGACTTCATCATTTCCACCAGGCTCTGTCTCCTCATGCCATCACCTTCAGGTTCAAGATTCAGCCTACAAAATTTGGAGACACACCGGGAGACCCTAGCAGACACTAATCCATGTTGAAGTGCCTATCAAGTGTGTTCTTTTCTATTGCTGAATGATATTCTACTATGTGTATGGGCCATAATGCATTTATCCAGTCATCTGATGATAAATATTTGGGCAGATACCAATTGAGGCCACTACAGTTATCTATGCTATGAAGTTTCATGTATGAGTCTTCACAAAGACATGTGGTCACTTGTATATCAGGGAAATACAGAGAAGCTGTATAACTGGACAACATAGTAGAGGGATATTTCCCTCGGAATAGTCTATTACAAATATTTTCTTAGAGTGGCAACTTAGCCTTTTCATGTTCCTAGAAGTGTCTGTTGAAGGACACAATCCTGAATTTTGATGAAGTTAAACTTAATAATTTTCCCTTTTACACAGTTTGCATTGGTGTCATCTAAAAATCTTGGTCTCATCCAGAGGTTTCAAGGTTTTAGTTGTATAGTTAGGTTTATGATCATTTTCAGGCAATTTTGTATGTAACATGAGATATGTGGCTACGTTCACATAGGTTCAAGTGAGTATCTGTTATTCCAGCAACATTTTCATCTGTACTGCTTTACAACGGTGTCAAAGATCACTCCTCCACAAATCTTTGCATTTGTTTTGCGACTCTACACAGTTCAATCAATGTGATTCATATGTTAACACCAATAGCAGCTGTGTTTGTTGTTATACTTTTAGAAGAAATATTTGAAATCAGAGAATACCAATACACCAATTGGTTTTTATTTTCAGTGATGTTCTGAAGAGTGTGGTTCTTTTTTGCATTTCTATATGCGTTTCAGAATAATCTCAGTGGCTTCTAAAAGTAGTTTTGCAGGAGTTGATTAGGACTGAAGAGATACTGCAGATCACTTTGGTGAGAAATGAACATTACCAATTCACAGTCTTTTGACCCAGGATTATGTCTCTCTCTCATCCTTGCCTCTCTCTCCAGTGTTTCTCCTCTCTCTCTTTAGCAAAGAGAGTGAGTGCAGTATACCTTGGCTATCTGGCCTCTGGTTCAGAGCCACGCCAACCCTGGGAGGCCAAGAGTAACTGCGACGCATACAAGTCTTCTTATCACAGGAAGAACACGTTCTTTGGCCTTCAGATGTTTGTTATTCACATCAGAAACAAGATTCTGAACTCGGGAGTCACTGAGTGTTTCCATGTTGCTTCCAGAGAGGCAAGCCCTGCTCCACTGATGTAGTCACTGTCTCTGTGCCTGAAATGTGGGTATCTTTTCTCCTGACACTACTGCTATGATTCAGAATACACGAGGCTGCATTTCCTTTTGCCACCTCTCAGATTCACCACAAAGGACCTGTTAGGTTGCAGCTCACCTGCTGTCATTTCCAGGA